CTACTGTACCATCCCTGTTACTCACAAGTTAGGGGGTAGACTGTATCTACTGTACCATCCTCTTCATCTTTATTTACAGAAGTTCGACACATACTTACCCTCTTCACACCAGCATGAAGGAATTTCTCAGCAAACATTTCAATGACTCTGCCAAAGGGTCCGATGCCTTGAATGTCAATAACACCATGCTGTTTTAACTGTGTCCTGGAATTAATTCAAAAACATTATATCAGGAGACTGGTATGCTTCTAATATGATTAGCCTTAAGGAGAAGGGAGGTAACTCTCATAGAGAGCAGTAAGCTCTATTTTTATCTAACTAAAGAAGCTCATCAAGCCTTAGACCACTTTCCAATAAAATGTCAAGTTGCATTATGATACCAGCAAAACAGGACGAGTAGACAAAATGGCTGCCATGGTGGCTGTCTTCTATTACTTAGTATCTGACAATACGTTAGAACTGGATCTCAGATTTAATTCTACAACTGGATCTCAGATTTAATTCTACAACAGCATTTCAGATTTAATTCTACAACAGCATCTCAGATTTTTTTCTACAACTGGATCTCAGAGTTAATTCTACAACAGCATCTCAGATTTTTTTCTACAACTGGATCTCAGAGTTAATTCTACAACAGCATCTAAGATTTAATTCTACAACTGGATCTCAGAGTTAATTCTACAACAGCATCTAAGATTTAATTCTACAACAGCATCTAAGATTTAATTCTACAACAGCATTTCAGATTTAATTCTACAACAGCATTTCAGATTTAATTCTACAACCGGAGCTCAAATTTAATTCTACAACTGGAGCTCAAATTTAATTCTACAACTGGAGCTCAAATTTAATTCTACAACTGGAGCTCAGATTTAATTCTACAACAGCATTTCAGATTTAATTCTACAACAGCATCTCAGATTTTTTTCTACAACTGGATCTCAGAGTTAATTCTACAACAGCATCTCAGATTTTTTTCTACAACTGGATCTCAGAGTTAATTCTACAACAGCATCTCAGATTTTTTTCTACAACTGGATCTCAGAGTTAATTCTACAACAGCATCCCAGATTTAATTCTACAACTGGAGCTCAGATTTAATTCTACAACCGGAACTTAAATTTAATTCCACAACTGGATCTCAGATTTAATTCTACATCTGGATCTCAGATTTAATTCTACAACTGGAGCTCAGATCTAATTCTACAACTGGATCTAAGATTTAATTCTACAACTGGATCTAAGATTTAATTCTACAACAGCATTTCAGATTTAATTCTACAACAGCATCTAAGATTTAATTCTACAACTGGAGCTCAGATCTAATTCTACAACTGGATCTAAGATTTAATTCTACAACAGCATTTCAGATTTAATTCTACAACAGCATTTCAGATTTAATTCTACAACTGGAGCTCAGATTTAATTCTAAAACAGCATCACAGATTTAATTCTACAACTTGATCTCAGATTTAATTCTACAAAAGGATCTCAGATTTAATTCTACAACTGGAGCTCAGATCTAATTCTACAACTGGATCTAAGATTTAATTCTACAACAGCATCTAAGATTTAATTCTACAACAGCATTTCAGATTTAATTCTACAACAGCATCTAAGATTTAATTCTACAACTGGAGCTCAGATCTAATTCTACAACTGGATCTCAGAGTTAATTCTACAACAGCATCTAAGATTTAATTCTACAACAGCATCCCAGATTTAATTCTACAACTGGATCTCAGATTTAATTCTACAACTGGACAAGACACCCTCCCCCTGGACTCAATCTTTATAGAGACCCTTAAACCTCAGATGGTCTGGTGGAGTAGAGTATATCTTTACTTTTACAGGCCAGGGTTGGAGTCTCTGATGGAACATGGAGATGTATGCGATCACCTGCCTGACCACATGGGCTTTCTAGCTCAAGGTCTTCCAGTTTAATTTCCTCCCACATTAAGACTCCCTGCTAGCCAACATCGGCCGAAAAGATTAATATAAGTTCGCATAACTTATTTATAATTGTTATAAAGAGATTAAAGTATGCATTTAAACAGACATGCTTACTCCGGACCTCATGAGATCAGAAAAGTCTCTTAATCAGGACCTCAGAAATATGAATTACCTAAATCTTACTCTGATCTCAAACTGTAGAAATCTCTTATTCTCCACCTCAGACTGTAGAAAAAAAATCTGTCACTAACTCCGACCTCAGACTGAAGAAAAATCTCTTACTTACTCAGATCTCAAATTGTAGAAATCACTTACTCTATAGACCTGACTGTAGAATAATCTAGAAAATGTCTGTGAGACATAAATGCCCCCACTGCCATGTGAAATTAGTTTCAGTGTTCTATAAAAAAGTTACAACCACTTTGATCTTGATACACTGACACCTGCACACATAAGTTGATTTTAATATTCATATGGGTTTTTTTGTATGCTATTACTATCTCCATAACATATTGAATGAAGTTGCTAAGTGTTTAAATTGAATCAGTTGATGATTTTCTATATATAACAACAGTGACCTTGGAACCCTGAAACACAACAATGTCCGAAGTATACTCATACTTGACCTTTGCATAAAGTTTGACCAAAATCCATGAAAGAATGAAGTTGCTAAGTGTTTAAATTGAATCAGTTGATGATTTTCTATATATAGCAACAGTGACCTTGGCCTTGACCATGACCGTGGCCTTGACCTTGGAACCCTGAAACACATGAATGTCAGAAGTATACTATACTTGACCTTTGCATAACGTTTGACCAAAATCGATGAAAGAATGAAGTTGCTAGAATGAAGTTGCTAAGTGTTTACATTGAATCAGTTGATGATTTTCTATATATAGCAAGTGTGACCTTGGCCTTGACCTTGGATCCATGAAACACAACTATGTCCGAAGTATACTCATTCTTGACCTTTGTATGAAGTTTGACCAAAATCTGTCAAAGAATGAAGTTTCCAAGTGTTTACATTGAATTGAGACAGGATGCGACACGACGGGACGGGTGTTTAACATGGGCAACATTATATGCCCCCCCCCCCCCCCCCAATTTTATGGCGGGGGCATACAAATATCTCAATAAATCTGACCTCAGACTGTAGAAAAAAATCTTACAAGGGACCTAAGACTGAAGAAATCTCTTACTGTGGGCCTCCTGCTGTAGAAATATCCTACCAGGGACCTTAAACGATAGAAAAATCTCGTATTCAGTATCTAAGACTGCAGAAAAAAATCTCAATTTGCACCTCAGACTGTGGAAAAATCTCTTACTTGGGATCAAAGACTCTGGACAAACACTTCAGCAAGGGATCTTGTATTATAAAGTCTAACCCTAAGCTGGGACTTTATGACAGAAACTTTATCCCGGACCTGAAACTCATGTCAGGCACTAACTCTGCACCCGTCATATTTGGGACCTGCTACTGTTTTATTCTAGACAGACACTAAAACCAAATTTGGTATTGATACCTATGCGTACCTATAGCTCTGCCTCAATATTAAGCGTAGAAAAGTTATTTATCTAATTTTGAGCCTGTCTGGATAGCAAGACCTGTTGCAGCATTAGACTTAAGTTACAAGTTGGTGTTATAACATCATGACATTACTGATGGACAAAATCTCACCACTTGGGGTTTTCTGGGCAAGGCTTGAACACTGACTCTTCCCACATATTTGCATAATTACACCAGGTGAGGTTGCGACTTTTGAGATGTAGAGATTGTTTCTTGGCATCCAGCCAAGACTTTTCCTCTAGAAGAAATTCCTTCACATTCAAAGCACTTATCTGAAACAATACAATCAAGTCTATTCTCCACATTTCATCACAAAACACAATAGTGACCAGAAACATCAATACATATTATCACTGAATTTGTATTTAGCTTCAATTTTGATGGTATTTCCCCAGCTACCCCTTTTTTAATTTTACATGTAAACCCACAACAGGAAGGTTAGACCAAGAAAACTGATTAGCTTCAATTTTAATGGTATTTCCCCAGCTACCTCCTTTTTTACTTTCACATGTAAACCTACAACAGGTAGGTTAGACCAAGAAAACTGATTAGCTTCAATTTTAATGGTATTTCCCCAGCTACCCCCTTTTTTAATTCTACATGTAAACATACAACAGGTAGGTTAGCCAAAGAAAACTGACCTGACAAATTAATTGTATGACCATACAACAGCAAAGGTCATACAGAGACATTCGCTATTTAACTGAAATGTCGTAACATGGATGCGGGAGCTTTGACACTCCACCAAGTCACATTATATTGACAACAGGTTAACCAGTCTGGCACCCTTGTAAAGCTGAATACAAAAAAGAGAGCAGTAAGTACCAATTTTCAGAACTTTGCTTGGTCAGGTGACAGAACACATAACTTGCGAAGGGCAAAACCTCTGGCACCATCCCAAAGGTTAGACCATAACTAGAAAATGTAGTACGCATTGCCACTATGTACTGCATGACTGTTGGTACATCATTAAAACCTACCAAACAGATGACAGACTGCACATCATACTTACCAAACAGAGGACTGTCGGTACATCATTAAAACCTACCAAACAGAAGACTGTCAGTACTTCATTAAACTTGCCAAACAGAGGACTGTCGGTACTTCATTAAACTTACCAAACAGAGGACTGTCGGTACTTCATTAAACTTGCCAAACAGAGGACTGTCGGTACATCATTAAAACTTGCCAAACAGAGGACTGTCAGTACATCATACTTACCAATCGGAGGACTGTTGATACATCATACTTACCGATCAGAGGACTGTCTGTACATCACTCTTAATGATCGGAGGACTGCCAGTATGACAAACATACCAATCAGAGGATTGCTGGTACATCATATTTAAACAACAAACGCTGTAAAAGTACAACACAAACATTCTGTTGTCTTACCAGACGAAGGACTGCCAGTATCTTATACTTGCCAAAGGACTTTTGGTACAATATATGTACCAGAGAACAGTTAGTACAACATACTTACCAGACAGAGGGCTGCCGGTATGACATACCCATCTGACAAACGTAGGACTGTTGGTACAATATACTTACCAGACGGAGGACTGCCAGTATGACATACCCATCAGACAAACGTAGGACTGTTGGTACGACATACATACCCATCTGACAAACGTAGGACTGTTGGTACAATATACTTACTTACCAGACAAACGTAGGACTGTTGGTACAACATACTTACCAGACAGAGGACTGCTAGTATGACATACCCATCAGACAAACGTAGGAATGTTGGTACAATAAAATTACCAGACGGAGGACTGCCAGTATGACATACACGTCAGACAAACGTAGGACTGTTGGTACAATATACTAACCAGAAGGAGGACTGCTATGACATACCCATCAGACAAACGTAGGACTGTTAGTACGACATACTTACCAGACAGAGGACTGCCAGTATGACACCCCCATCAGACAAACGTAGGACTGTTGGTACAATATACTAACCAGAAGGAGGACTGCCAGTATGACATACTTACCAGACAAACGTAGGACTGTTGGTACAACATACGTACCAGACGGAGGACTGCCAGTATGACATACACGTCAGACAAACGTAGGACTGTTGGTACAATATCCTTACCAGACAGAGGACTGCCAGTATGACATACTTACTAGACAGAGGACTGCCAGTATGACATACTCATCAGACAAACGTAGGACAGACAAACGTAGGAATGTTGGTACAATAAAATTACCAGACGGAGGACTGCCAGTATGACATACACGTCAGACAAACGTAGGACTGTTGGTACAATATACTTACCAGAAGGAGGACTGCCAGTATGACATACTCATCAGACAAACGTAGGACAGACAAACGTAGGAATGTTGGTACAATAAAATTACCAGATGGAGGACTGCCAATATGACATACCCATCAGGCAAACGTAGGACTTTTGGTACAATATATGTACCAGAGAACAGTTAGTACAACATAAACGTAGGACTGTTGGTACAATATACTGACCAGACGGAGGACTGCCAGTAGGACATACCCATCAGACAAACGTAGGACTGTTGGATATGTACCAGAGAACAGTTAGTACAACATAAACGTAGGACTGTTGGTACAATATACTTACCAGACGGAGGACTGCAAGTATGACATACCCATCAGCCAAACGTAGGACTGTTAGTACAACATACTTACCAGACGGAGGACTGCAAGTATGACATACCCATCAGCCAAACGTAGGACTGTTAGTACAACATACTTACCAGACGGAGAACTGCAAGTATGACATACCCATCAGACAAACGTAGGACTGTTGGATATGTACCAGAGAACAGTTAGTACAACATAAACGTAGGACTGTTGGTACAATATACTGACAGGACTGTTGGTACAATATACTGACCAGACGGAGGACTGCCAGTATGCCATACCCATCAGACAAACGTAGGACTGTTCGTACAACATACTTACCAGACGGAGGACTGCCCATCAGGCAAACGTAGGACTTTTGGTACAATATATGTACCAGAGAACAGTTAGTACAACATAAACGTAGGACTGTTGGTACAATATACTTACCAGACGGAGGACTGCCAGTATGACATACACGTCAGACAAACGTAGGACTGTTGGTACAATATACTTACTTACCAGACAAACGTAGGACTGTTGGTACAACATACTTACCAGACAGAGGACTGCTAGTATGACATACCCATCAGACAAACGTAGGAATGTTGGTACAATAAAATTACCAGATGGAGGACTGCCAGTATGACATACCCATCAGGCAAACGTAGGACTTTTGGTACAATATATGTACCAGAGAACAGTTAGTACAACATACTTACCAGACAGAGGGCTGCTGGTATGACATACCCATCAGACAAACGTAGGACTGTTGGTACAATATACTGACCAGACGGAGGACTGCCAGTATGACATACCCATCAGACAAACGTAGGACTGTTCGTACAACATACTTACCAGACGGAGGACTGCCAGTATGACATACTCATCAGACAAACGTAGGACTGTTGGTACAATATACTGACCAGACGGAGGACTGCCAGTATGACATACCCATCAGACAAACGTAGGACTGTTGGTACGACATACTGACCAGGCGGAGGACTGTTGGTACGACATACTGACCAGACGGAGGACAGTTGGTACGACATACTGACCAGACGGAGGACTGCCAGTACGACATACTGACCAAACGGAGGACTGTTGGTACGACATACTGACCAGACGGAGGACTGTTGGTACAACATACTTACCAGACGGAGGACTGCCAGTATGACATACCCATCAGACAAACGTAGGACTGTTGGTACAATATACTAACCAGAAGGAGGACTGCCAGTATGACATACTTACCAGACGGAAGACTGCCAGTATGACATACCCATCAGACAAAAGTAGGACAGTTGGTACAATATACTAACCAGACGGTGGACTGCCAGTATGACATACGCATCAGACAAACGTAGGACTGTTGGTACAATATACTGACCAGACGGAGGACTTCCAGTATGACATACCCATCAGACAAACGTAGGACTGTTCGTACAACATACTTACCAGACGGACAACTGCCAGTATGACATATCCATCAGACAAACGTAGGACTGTTGGTACGACATACTTACCAGACAGAGGACTGCCAGTATGACATACTTACCAGACGGAAGACTGCCAGTATGACATACCCGTCAGACAAACGTAGGACTGTTCGTAAAACATACTTACCAGACGGACAACTGCCAGGATGACATATCCATCAGACAAACGTAGGGCTGGTGGTACGACATACTTACCAGAAGTATGACATACCCATCAGACAAACGGAGGAATGTTGGTACAATAAAATTACCAGACGGAGGACTGCCGGTATGCCATACCCATCAGACAAACGTAGGACTGCTGGTACAATATACTAACCAGAAGGAGGACTGCCAGTATGACATACTTACCAGACAAACGTAGGACTGTCAAACGTAGGACTGTTGGTACAATATATTTACCCGACGGAGGACTGCCAGTATGACATACCCATCAACGGAGGACTGCCAGTATGACATACCCATCAACGGAGGACTGCCAGTATGACATACCCATCAACGGAGGACTGCCAGTATGACATACCCATCAACGGAGGACTGCCAGTATGACATACCCATCAGGCAAACGTAGGACTGTTGGTACAATATATTTACCAGACGGAGGACTGCCAGTATGACATACCCATCAGACAAACGTAGGACTGTTGGTACAATATACTTACCAGACAGAGGACTGCCAGTATGACATACTTACTAGACAGAGGACTGCCAGTATGACATACTCATCAGACAAACGTAGGTCTGTTGGTACAATATACTGACCAGACGGAGGACTGTCAGTATGACATACCCATCAGACAAACGAAGGACTGTTGGTACGACATACTTACCAGATGGAGGACTGCCAGTATGACATACTCATCAGACAAACGTAGGACTGTTGGTACAATATACTTACTGACATACCCATCAGACAAACGTAGGACTGTTGGTACAATATACTAACCAGAAAGAGGACTGCCAGTATGACATACCCATCAGACAAAAGTAGGACAGTTGGTACAATATACTAACCAGAAGGAGGACTGCCAGCATGACATACTTACCAGACTGAAGACTGCCAGTATGACATACTTACCAGACAAACGTAGGACTGTTGGTACAACATACTGACCAGACGGAGGACTGCCAGTATGACATACTTACCAGACAAACGTAGGACTGTTGGTACAATATACTGACCAGACGGAGGACTGCCAGTATGAGATACCCATCAGACAAACGTAGGAATGTTGGTACAATAAAATTACCAGACGGAGGACTGCCAGTATGAGATACCCATCAGACAAACGTAGGACTGTTTGTACGACATACTTTTGGTACAATATACTAACCAGAAGGAGGACTGCCAGCATGACATACTTACCAGACTGAAGACTGCCAGTATGACATACTTACCAGACAGAGGACTGCCGGTATGACATACCCATCAGACAAACAACATACTTACCAGACGGAGGACTGTCAGTATGACATACCCATCAGACAAACGCAGGACTGTTCGTACAACATACTTACCACTTACCAGACAAACGTAGGACTGTTGGTACGACATACTGTTGGTACAATATACTAACCAGAAGGAGGACTGCCAGCATGACATACTTACCAGACTGAAGACTGCCAGTATGACATACTTACCAGACGGAAGACTGCCAGTATGACATACTTACCAGACAGAGGACTGCCGGTATGACATACCCATCAGACAAACGTAGGACTGTTGGGACAATATACTTACCAGACGGAGGACTGCCAGTATGAGATACCCATCAGACAAACGTAGGAATGTTGGTACAACATACTTACCAGAAGGAGGACTGCCAGTATGACATACTTACCAGACAGAGGACTGCCGGTATGACATACGTAGGACTGTTGGTACAACATACTTACAAGACGGAGGACTGCAAGTATGACATACTTACCAGACAGCGACATACTGACCGGACGGAGGAGTGCCAGTATGACATACCAATCAGACAAACGTAGGACTGTTGGTACAATACACTAACCAGAAAGAGGACTGCCAGTATGACATACCCATCATACAAACGTAGGACTGTTGGTACAATATACTAAACAAACGTAGGACTGTTGGTACAACATACTTACCAGACGGAGGACTGCAAGTATGACATACTTACCAGACAGAGGACTGCCGGTATGACATACCCATCAGACAAACGTAGGACTGTTGGTACAACATACTTACCAGACGGAGGACTGTCAGTATGACATACCCATCAGACAAACGAAGGACTGTTCGAACAACATACTTACCAGACGGAAGACTGCCAGTATGACATACCCATCAGACAAACGTAGGAATGTTGGTACAATAAAATTACCAGACGGAGGACTGCCAGTATGACATCCCCATCAGGCAAACGTAGGACTGTTCGTACAATATACTTACCAGACGGAGGACTGCCGGTATGACATACCCATCAGACGTACAATATACTTACCAGAAGGAGGACTGCCAGTATGACATACCCATCAGGCAAACGTAGGACTGTTCGTACAATATATTTACCAGACGGAGGACTGCCGGTATGACATACCCATCAGACAAACGTAGGACTGTTCGTACAATATATTTACCAGCCGGAGGACTGCCGGTATGACATACCCATCAGACAAACGTAGGACTGTTGGTACAATATACTAACCAAAAGGAGGACTGCCGGTATGACATACTTACCAGACGGAAGACTGCCAGTATGACATACTTACCAGACAAACGTAGGACTGTTGGTACGATATACTGACCAGACTGAGGACTGTTGGTACGACATACTGACCAGACGGAGGACTGCCAGTACGACATACTGACCAGACGGAGGACTGTTGGTACGACATACTGACCAGACGGAGGACTGTTGGTACAACATACTTACCAGTCGGAGGACTGTTGGTACGACATACTGACCAGACGGAGGACTGCCAGTATGACATACCCATCTGACAAACGTAGGACTTTTGGTACAATATACTTACCAGACGGAGGACTGCCGGTATGACTTACCCATCAGACAAACGTAGGACTGTTGGTACAACATACTTACCAGACTGAGGACTGCCAGTATGACATACCCATCTGACAAACGTAGGACTTTTGGTACAATATACTTACCAGACGGAGGACTGCCGGAATGACATACCCATCAGACAAACGTAGGACTGTTGGTACAATATACTTACCAGACAGAGGACTGCCAGTATGACATACTTACTAGACAGAGGACTGCCAGTATGACATACTCATCAGACAAACGTAGGACTGTTGGTACAATATACTTACCAGACAGAGGACTGCCGGAATGACATACCCATCAGACAAACGTAGGACTGTTGGGACAATATACTAACCAGAAGGAGGACTGCCAGTATGACATACTTACTAGACAGAGGACTGCAAGTATGACATACTCATCAGACAAACGTAGGACTGTTGGTACAATATACTAACCAGAAGGAGGACTGCCAGTATGATATACTTACCAGACAAACGTAGGACTGTTGGTACAACAGTCCTACGTTGTCTGATGAGTATGGCATACTGGCAGTCCTACTTCTGGTAAGTATAGTGTACCAACAGTCCTAGGTTTGTCTGGTAAGTATTTCATACTGGCAGTCTTCCGTCTGGTAAGTATATCATACTGGCAGTCATCCTTCTGGTTAGTACATTGTACCAACAGTCATACGTTTGTCTGATGAGTATGGCATACTGGCAGTCCTACTTCTGGTAAGTATATTATACCAACAGTCCTACGCTACGTTTGTCTGATGAGTAGGTCATACTGGCAGTCCTACTTCTGGTAAGTATAGTCCTCCGTCTGGTAATTTTATTGTACCAACATTACTACGTTTGTCTGGTAAGTATATTATACCAACAGTCCTACCTTTGTCTGGTAAGTATTTCATACTGGCAGTCTTCCGTCTGGTAAGTACGTCATACCGGCAGTCCTCAGTCTGGTAAGTATGTAGTACGAACAGTCCTTCGTTTGTCTGATGGGCATGTCATACTGGCAGTACTCCTTCTGGTAAGTATAGTCCTCCGTCTGGTGAGTATGTCATACCGGGAGTCCTCCGTCTGGTCAGCATGTCGTACCAACAGTCATACGTTTGTCTGATGAGTAGGTCATACTGGCAGTCATCCTTCTGGTTAGTATATTGAACCAACATTCCTACGTTTGCCTGATGGGAGTATATTGTACCAACAGGCCTACGATTGTCTGATGAGTATGTCAAACTTGCAGTCCTCTGTCTAGTAAGTATGTAATACTGGCAGTCCTCCGTCGGGTAATTATATTGTACCAACATTACTACGTTTGTCTGATGAGTATGGCATACTGGCAGTCCTACTTCTGGTAAGTATAGTGTACCAACAGTCCTCCGCCTCGTCAGTATGTCGTACTGGCAGTCCTCCAGGACTGCCAGTATGCCATACTCATCAGACAACGTAGGACTGTTGTACCAACAGTCCTCCGCCTCGTCAGTATGTCGTACTTGCAGTCCTCCGTCTGATGTATAGTACCACAATCTGATTAAAATCATCTTTTACATGGCTCCGCCTGAACATCTGAGTGTGCCGCGGTCACATACTTACCAGACTGAGGACTGCCGGTATGACAGTTGGTACGACATACTTACCAGACTGAGGACTGCCAGTATAAGATACCCATCAGACAAAGGTAGGACTGTTGGTATAATATACTTACCAGAAGGAGGACTGCAAGTATGACATACCCATCTTACCAGAAGGAGGTCTGCCAGTATGACATGCTTACTAGACAGAGGACTGCAAGTTTGACATACTCATCAGCCAAAAGAAGGCCTGTTGGGACAATATACTTACCAAAAGGAGGTCTGCCAGTATGACATCATCACTAGACAGAGGACTGCCAGTATTACATACTTACTAGACGGAGGACTGCTTGTATGACATACTTTCTAGGCGGAGGACTGCCGGTATGACATACCCACCAGACAAACGCAGGCCTGTTGGTACAATATCCTTACCAGACGGAGGGCTGCGGGTATGACATACCCCAGACAAACGTAGGACAGTTGGTACAATATACTTCCCAGACGGAGGACTGTCAGTATGACATACCCGTAAGACAAACGTAGGACTGATGGTACAATATACTTGCCAGTATGACATACTTACTAGACGGAGGACTGCAAGTATGGCATACTCATCAGACAATCGTAGGCCTGTTGGTACGCCATACTGACCAGACGGAGTACTGCCAGTATGAGATACCCCTGCCAGTATGACATCCTCATCAGACAAACGTATGACTGTTGGTACAATGTACTAACCAGAAGGAGGATTGCCAGTATGAGATACCCCTGCCAGTATGACATGCTTACTAGACAGAGGACTGCCGGTATGACAGTTGGTACGACATACTTACCAGACGGAGGACTGCCGGTATGACGTTATGACATGTAGCTATCCTTCGTATGTAGTTTACTCCACTGTTCTTGTCTAAATATAACATAACATGACAGGGAAGCAGTTTGATAAAAAGAGTTGTAATAGTTTAGTTTGAACTAAATGTCAATGACATCTACACATGTAGCCTTCAGAATATATAATTTTAGCTTTTATTAAAACCTCTAGAGAGATATAGTCCCATTTCTTTTATATAACATCTGGTTTCCTGGTCCCATGAATTGCTTAAATCATTCATTAACAACAAGTCATTTACGACAAAAAACAACATGAAAAATAGACATAATTCACAAAAAAGAATACATTTAACGTAATTTAAAAGATAAAATATTCCCCGAACAAACAAATTATGTAAACTGTAATCCCTTCAACAAAGAAAATTTGGTTGAGATCTGCATGTTCATTCTGTATGTGTAATTTGTGTATATTGGTATAAAACAAGGTCTGGCTTATGACCCTGGGAATTATAGTCCCCTGGGGAGAGGCATGGCACCTGAACCAATCCTGATAGCATTGATGTATGTTTCTTCATGTCTACCAAATACTTACATTCTTGAAGGGTTTGGATCTCATCCATTTTCATTTAATAACTCAGGTACTAAACTTCCCTGGGGAGGGTGTGGACCTCCAGACCAACTATGGTAGCATGAATATATTTTTCATTTCTTGCCTAACCCTTATATGCATGATTATATGTGAAAGGATCTCAACTGTCTCCATATCATGACTAGGCACATGTATTGGGCTTAATTTGATATGGTTATTGGGTGGGAATCTCTGTTAATTAGATATGGTTCTTGGGTGGGAATCTCTGTTAATTCCATGTTATGGCTATTGGGTGGGAATCTCTGTTAATTAGATATGGTTATTGGGTGGGAATCTCTGTTAATTCCATGTTATGGTTATTGGGTGGGAATCTCTGTTAATTCCATGTTATGACTAGGCACATGTATTGGGCTTACTTTGATATGGTTATTGGGTGGGAATCTCTGTTAATTCCATGTTATGACTCTGGGACTTTGTAGCATGGTTAGTTTTATGTCTTATTTATACATCTTAAAGTCCTTGGAGCCAAAAGATGCTCCAGGTCAGATTTGGTTAAAACCCCTTTATCCGTACAGAAGAAGAAGGATTTTAAATGAAGAAGGATTTTTTTTATATATATTTTGAATTAGTAGAAACACTATCTATAGGTTTCATCTTTGGGCCAAGTAAGCTACATACTATAAACAACATTTACACATTTACACTAATTAAAATGTTTACTTCGGTCACTGTAAAGTGCTGTACTTTGACATACATTTTCTATATAATATATTAGAAATGTAAAAACTTTTAAATCTTTGATTGTTAAATACAGAACTTGATTTACATCTGCATGCCATGGTACTGTACAATCTTATTAAAATCATATGTTACATGGCTTCGTTAACTTCGTACTACGCCTGAACATCTGAGTGTGCCGCGGTCAGGGTCACATTCAGGTGACCTTTATATTTATAAACACTCATTAAATTTTGACCAATCAGAGACCCTCTTTCAAAAGGGCCCTCGGAGTTGTAACAAATATGTCGGACATTGATGAGAATGATGGGAAAGTTATTTGAGATTGATCGTCTGAAACCCAAACAGAAAAAGATATTCGAAGCTTTAATAGAGAAGAAAGACGGTATGGTGGTGTTGCCTACGCAATTATTACCTTGTTTGGTATGTTTTCCTTGGCGTTGTAGAAACGTCAGTTCCCGCCGCCATATTTGTTTTGGAAAACTAATCTGTTTGATACCCTTCGCTATTTATCTTTCAACCATGATATTTCGATTCGCTGGCAAACTTTTGCCAGCACGCCTCTGATTGGTTCATCTAAAGGTCACTTTAACTCGACCCTGACCGCGGCACATTCAGATGTTCAGGCGGAGCCATGTAACAGATGATTTTAATCAGATTGTGGTACTATACATCCCAAAATAATAGCAATGCCCTTAACATGCTCAATACAGATTCTAGGAAATGCCTAAAATGCTTGGAGTGGACCCAAACAACTAGCCCATCATAAAACGAAAAGGAAGAATTATCACAGCATTATATACAAAGTTACTTACCAATTTGTTGCTCTATGGTTTCAATTTTCTGAACATACTTCTCTTTGGCATTTGGATACTGAAAGAGTAAGAAGAGCATGAAAAATAAAGTTTAATTTAAACTGTGAGAATATTAAAGATCAGAAGATTCTAAAGGATCTCTGCNCCCCCCCCCCCCCCCCTCCACTCTAACCCCTGGCAAATTAAACTGATTTCCTTGAAAACATCAATTTATACATTGGTAACAAAGAACTGGATATCTCTGGATCCAACACTGAAAGTGTATATTAAATATATTACATGAATTAACAAGAGGCCCAATGGGCCTGCATCGCTCACCTGGTATTAATCTAGCACTTGTAACCTTTAAAGTGATCTTAAATAAAGCTACAGGCAAAATATCAGTATCCATGACTATAAGTCATTCAAAAGAACCTGTTAAAAGATTTACAATCAGTTGACCCCTGTGACCTTGAAAGTCAAACATTACGTTGAACAAATTTTATAGCCCTTCAATCTCAGCATGCAACTGGCAAAATATCACCAACGGTACACATATTTGACTAAATGTGATCTTGAAAGTGGGTCAAAGTCATTCATTTGAACAAACTTGGTAGCCCTTTATCCCAGCATGCTACTGACCAATATCATCACCCTGGGCATTTTGCTTATTCAGAAGAAGTCGTTTAAAGGTTTCAAATATATTTGACCCCTGTGACCTTGAATATATGTGAAGGTCATTTACTTTAACAAACTTGGTAGCCCTTCATCCAAGCATGATACTGGCCAAATATCAACATCCACAGCCTTTTAGTTATTCAGAAGAAGTCGTGTAAGTTTTTTTTACATATTTGACCCCTGTGACCTTGAAAATGGGTCACGGTCATTCATTTGAACAAACTTGGTAGCCCTTCATCCCAGTTTGCTTCTGGCCAAATATCATCACCCTAGGCCTTATGGTTATTAAGAAGAAACTGTTCAAAGTAAAATATTGAAGCCAGACGCCACGGCATAAGCTCACTTGGGCCAGGTGAGCTAATAAAAATTTAAAGGTTATGACGTGGAACCTGATCAAAGTAATACTCTACATTGCTAAAAGTTCAAAAGTTACAATTAAAAAGTTTGCAACTATTTGAGGTAAAAAATTATTAGAAGAACCAGTTATAAACCAAAATGTCTCTATCCTTTATAATTGCATTTGGATATTTGTTATCTGTTATGTAAGATTCCTAAAATAAAGCACATGTATATATATATGATACTCAGGATATTTTTGGTACCTTTATAGGGATATAGTCAAATAAAAAAAATATATTTCAATTTTTGAATGTACATGCATGTTGTCTGCACAAAGTTTTATTTCCATGCTTCAGGCATAATCCCGGAATTTTAGAGCAGTGGGCCATTTTCATCAATTTTTAGTCAATATCCACATAAAGAGGGGCCATTCTATGTAGAATTAAAAGAATATTGGAACACGGTGGGGTCAATTTCAGTATTGAGGGCCAATGGCTCCCTCCAGGATTATCCCTGCTGCTTAGTGCTATCCCCATATTCATAGTCCATTCCAAATGCCAAGTTTGTCAACTTGAGATTTGCACGGGGAAAACCTCATTAAATTTAGCTCAAATAACGGCCAAATGCTGATTTTAAAACGAGGCAGTGTCAATTATGAACACAAGCATGCGGCAAAGGGGCCCCAAGATAAGGGGATGCATTGTATTATTCTGGCAATTTGTTATAGCACTTTGAAACCAATGGATAAGATTCAATCTTTCACTTCAGCTTTGTTTAACTTCCTATTGGCTGTTGTACCAAGAAAATATGTGTATAAAGCTAGCTTTCTGATTGCTCTGGCACTTTATAATGTTAATGTTTCCCCAAACATAACTCAATGAACATGCAGTACCTTTTCACAATTTCACTTTTCTTTGCTTCGTACCCAATGTAGTGAAAGTTTTCAATCACTGACACTTCAACAGTAAGCCATTTTGGTTACAATGAAATTGTGTGTTATGCAAATGTATTATCAGAATGACACAAAAATGTCCTGTTTAATATGTTGAATGTTATGTTCTATTAGTTTTAATACATCTAAATTTATCAATTTAGTCAAAAATCATTTATTTATAAGAAAATGATATTGAAGCAATTCTGTCTTGATCTTCCAATGATTTATATATATATGTGTTCCTACTAGTATATACCGTATTTTATTATCACTATAATAGGGTGTTGTTCTGTACATTAAAAAAGAAACGTTCGCAATGTGTTACAGAATGTCCTTATTTTCACGAAAAGTTATAGTCATTTTGTTGATCAATTTCCCCTAAAAAACGGAGTAATCCATGGACTAGTTTCAGACTGGTGCAAGTTAGCATGGAGACGTATATTGTCAAATACCTCAGACGTGTGAAATACAAATTATAATTCAGCTGTAATTTGCAATCTGGAAACTGATTTCAAGCAATGAAAAACCAGTGTCACCTTTGTGAAGTGAGTGTTCACGACAAAGTCAAGTGGATATTTAAAGGTGTGAATCACATCGACAGACACCACCATGTTCTGACTGCCTTCGGTCTCCGAGGTGCTGATCAGTGGCCTTGTTTATCGTGGCGAGCAGCCGAATAGAACATTACGTAACTTTATAACACCACACTTTTTGTACCCTCTCTCTACGCTCACTAAAGAGTTCGTAACACACTGAAATAGGGTAGACAACTCTTACAGTCTTGGCGACATAAGACCAACGACCGTGCAAATCATCAATCTGCCTTTCAGCCGTTTAATATATCAGCCCATTAAAAGTGTGCTACAGTTGGAATAACATTCGCTTCTGTTCTAATTCCGTCGATGTTTCTACCGGGTGGGTTTCTTACATAATTTAGCGTACTGACTTTTGCGAATCAATTAAGTGTCCGGACCCAAATCGGATCAAGGAATTTTTCAGTATCTTACACTTCAATAAATATTTTTGTCAGCATATTTACATTTTATGATGACCTTTGGAATTAAAATGAAAACAAGTGTTTCTATAGGGTGAATAGGCCTAGCTAAAGTCCAAAATGAAATGCATTGTCGTGGGNGGGGGGGAGAGGGGGGACACCGTGCCATCGGAGGGATATCAAGCCTACCAGACACCTTGATAGCACACAGTAGTACAATGACTGCGCGTTAGCGATCACGGCTACCGAGGCACCCGTGCTGTTTCAACTTAAAAAACTAATCAATGGCTATATCTATTCTAACGTTACATCATTGTTATAACTGATCTGAACACAATGACATATTTATTGATTTAAAACTGTTTTTGCAAAAAGTGATTCGATTTGGGTCCTGAGGTTCTTTACCTTAATTGGCGGTATAGTTTACCTTTTTGTTTCATTATATGCAATATTATCCACCAGGATCATTTAAAAAATAACTATTCTAGCATGCGATTTAATTATATTTGAGAAGAATAAAGGTGACGGTTTAAAATCCAATAGGGTTTAGATTTCGTGTGTGTGATTGTTTAGCCTTTGAATCAATCAAATTACGTCACAATCTACCGCGGCCCGGAATATGTATTTATCAGTAACACAGGTGATCACGTGTGTTGCATTGTGACATATACCGTCGCCAGGGACCCGTGACGCAGTAACAATACTACTGGTAGATATAGGCTATACACTTGGCGAGTTACGCTGAGGGGGTTGGATTAACCTATTATAGTATATGTGAATGTTCTCGGCTGTAAATCTGCGCACGGGCTTGGTTAGCAACGCGAACACGACCCAGATCTCGGAACCCCGAACAACAGCGAAAGGACCGTACCCAAGTTTTCCAGGGCATCGGCTGTAGCCTCGATGGCAGCATCGGAACAGGGAGAGTTATCCGGGAATTTTCCACATTTACAGCGCTTTAATCCCAACCCTAAAACCTTGACGTGGGAGAGACTAGAAAATAAACGGTTGAACAAACTTGGACTTGGAGCAAAACGATACTCCCGACATTTTCAGAGATTCCAGAGGGAGCCGTCCAGCATGTCTGAGAAAAAGTTATCTGAAGTTCAGATTGTGAATAAGAAGGACGAAAACGGTGTGATGACCCAGTATCTATTGGTCGGCGGGGAACTGAAGAAGATGAATTCTATTGCCCCGTTCTACACCGAGGAAAAGCCGACGTGTGGATTTTTCTTTAGTCGAATTACCGACAACAAAAAGAAGAAGTTCGGAATCCCTCCCAGCGACCTGGTGAAGTGGAGATCACTCAGCCAGTAGACCTGGCAAGGACATTGCGGGAACTTTAAAGACCTAAAGATCAGTATTCTCGTGAAAGGGACCAGGATAATGAGTATAGTGCCGTTTTTTTTATGAATAATTGCAAGTTAGGAAAACTTCCATCGCTACATTGATTCGCGCCATTTTCCGGCCGAATTCGTCTGCTCCAGGAACTTCCTTAATGAACACCAATGGTGTCTCCTGGCTAAAATGTTAATTGTGCTTATATACTTGCGGAGAACCCTGTATCGTTCACCATGGACTGGCACCGTCTTGGAGGTGGACATTTGACCGGATGTTAGGACAGTCAAGCTACCATCGTTGACCACGATCTTCCGGTCCTGGGTTTAAACCAGATATAAAGATGTTGGGTACCAAATCAGTATTCATATGTAATTGGTTGCTCATTTTACTCTATAATATATATTTATCTTTCCATAATGTTTGTTAACGTATTTTTATATTTTCAATAAGATATATAGATTTTGTATGTTATGTTTATACATTTAAAAGAATCCATATTTTTATTAGTGTTAATTTATGAGTTATTAGTTATTCGCACTGTTACCCCTGTTGCCTTTGTTATTGTGTTGTTTCAATCATTTAAAGTCTAGCTTTTAATTCCTTTTATGGCAAATATACATAGTTTGATAAGCCTATTTCTGTGACGTGTTCGTTAGATCTCTAGTGGCCGACAGGTACGAATCACCTGATAATCGAACACCTTATATAAGTATAGTCCTCACGGTAGTTGCCCTATGTTCTCTGTGTAAACCTGTACCGATCCTCTACAAGCGCTTTCTTTATGGCTGGATGCAATAAATTGTATTTGCATTCGAAAGTTTTGTATTGATTTTATTCAAAGGCTGACAAAGTTTGTCTTGCCTTATGTTAGCTTAACCCTCTTGCATTTTCAGCAATGTGACACTGTGGTCAATAAACGTTCTCACCAGGTATGCATGTACATTGAGTTTGGTATAGATATACATTTACATTCATTGGAAAAGATCCATTGTGAGGTGCATAATTAGATATTATACACCTGTAGATTCCAATGTTAAGCTTTACGGGTACATGTACGTGTGTCGTGTACCCATATCGTGTGGCTAATACACGTCCGTGGTTACACCTATACGTACCTGTGGATTCGTCCTTGTCACATAGTCAGTCAGGATTAGTTCACAATAATAATCCCTTTTTCAGTTAAATTATCTTTTAAGACATACATATAAACCTTATAGATTTGATCTGATCGGAGATCTAGTAAGAGAAATATTGAATATATTATTTAGATGTATGGCACTTTGACAGACGAAAGATATTTCGCTAAATTTAAATTTATTTCATTTTTACATATAACATTTTTTATGTGCAATAAGAGGATCGATATGTAAGTTACAATACAAACAGAAGATAACATCAATTTACGTAAAGAGTATGTATACATACACAAGTACCACATACACATGTAGTTGAGCCTGTTTTCCTTGTCTTAAATCATCATTTAATGCGTAGGTCTTATTTCAGGTAAACAAATATTAGTCTACATTAGACGACAGTATCAATTGAAAGCCTGATAAATCGGTTATTGTTGGATTCTACATCTACATGATACGTTGCACCATCAAACATGATGAGTACAACACAATAATCGTAACTTGTACACTTTCACCGTTTCTGCTTAAACTACACGGGACTAGTGGCTGTGTATATATTGCCAGTTGGCCGTTTCTTTGTGAATTAAACTGTAGGTATTTGTAATATATTGCACATTTCAATACATTATTTTATCTATATTTTTTGTAATATATAACTACCGATACTTAAATCTACTTGTATGATGACTAATACTGCCAAAGCACTCATATGTGACAAAGAGAATAAGTAAACTTAAGGGTCAGTCACTCTTTTGACTTATACTATTAACTTGAGGGTCAGTGACTATTAACTTGAGGGTCAGTGACTATAAACTTGAGGGTCAGTGACTACCTTGAATTTTACTATAAACGTAAGGGTCAGTGACTACCTTCAATTATGCTATAAACTTGAGGATCAGTGACTACCTTAAATTATACTATTAACTTGAGGATCAGTGACTACCTTCAATTATACAAGTAACTTGAGGGTCAGTGACTACCTTGAATTATACTATTAACTTGAGGATCAGTGACTCCATTGACTTATGTTATTAACTTGAGGGTCAGTGACTACCTTCAATTATACTATAAACTTGAGGGTCAGTGACTACCTTGAATTATACTATAAACTTGAGGGTCAGTGACTACCTTGACTTATACTATAAACTTGAGGGTCAGTAACTACCTTCAATTATACTATAAACTTGAGGGTCAGTGACTACCTTGAATTATACTATTAACTTGAGGGTCAGTGACTCCATTGACTTATGTTATTAACTTGAGGGTCAGTGACTACCTTCAATTATACAAGTAACTTGAGGGTCAGTGACTAACTTGAATTATACTATTAACTTGAGGGTCAGTGACTACCTTCAATTATACTATTAACTTGAGGGTCAGTGACTACCTTCAATTATACCATTAACTTGAGGGTCAGTGACAACCTTGAATTATACTATTAACATGAGGGTCAGTGACTACCTTGAATTATACAAGTAACTTGAGGGTCAGTGACTACCTTCAATTATACTATTAACTTGAGGGTCAGTGACTACCTTCAATTATACAAGTAACTTGAGGGTCAGTGACTACCTTCAATTATACTATTAACTTGAGGGTCAGTGACTACCTTCAATTATACTATTAACTTGAGGGTCAGTGACTACCTTCAATTATACAAGTAACTTGAGGGTCAGTGACTACCTTCAATTATACAAGTAACTTGAGGGTCAGTGACTACCTTCAATTATACAAGTAACTTGAGGGTCAGTGACTACCTTCAATTATACAAGTAACTTGAGGGTCAGTGACTACCTTCAATTATACAAGTAACTTGAGGGTCAGTGACTACCTTCAATTATACAAGTAACTTGAGGGTCAGTGACTACCTTCAATTATACAAGTAACTTGAGGGTCAGTGACTACCTTCAATTATACAAGTAACTTGAGGGTCAGTGACTACCTTCAATTATACAAGTAACTTGAGGGTCAGTGACTACCTTCAATTATACAAGTAACTTGAGGGTCAGTGACTACCTTCAATTATACAAGTAACTTGAGGGTCAGTGACTACCTTCAATTATACAAGTAACTTGAGGGTCAGTGACTACCTTCAATTATACAAGTAACTTGAGGGTCAGTGACTACCTTCAATTATACAAGTAACTTGAGGGTCAGTGACTACCTTCAATTATACAAGTAACTTGAGGGTCAGTGACTACCTTCAATTATACAAGTAACTTGAGGGTCAGTGACTACCTTCAATTATACAAGTAACTTGAGGGTCAGTGACTAC